TAAAGAAAGCAGTAATTTTTTTCTTTAAGTGATTATATTACTTGTCTGCATTCATTTAAACTTCTCTGACTGAACTTACAAAGCAAACCAGATATACAAAGTCAATTTTTTAGCCAGCTCCCCAAATGTTCATTGACTTAGCCTGTATCAGAATACCGATAATGCTGTCTCGATTTGGCAGGTGCTGTTAAATCAACGAGATTTATAGGGCAGTCGTGGCATTGCCAGCTCACTATGGGGACACAGGGGCTAACTGGAGGGCCCCCCCGAGACCTACTCATCAGGACCTTCCACTCAATCACAGGGGACGTGAACTACCAATTAGTGTTTAAAATTGTGAAAGGGCTCTCTCTTGAAATACCTGCTTCCAGATTGAAATGGAACTAGAAATACTAGATACACTGCAAGCTCTTTAAAACATTTTCCTAGGGGGTGGGGGAAAGGTGGTGTTCAAAATAACACAGGTGTGTCTTGGCACCAATTCAAAAAATTTTAATTCCCTAAGTGCCAAAAGACCCTGTTTAAAGTCTGTTTCTCCTATATTTTAAAAAATAATTTTATTGATTTCAGAGAGAAGAAGGGAGAGGAGAAACATCCATGATGAGAAAGATCTGCTGCCTCCTGCATGCCCCCTACTGGAAATCGAGCCCACAACCCAGGCATGTGCCCTGACAGGGTATCAAACCCTGACCTCCTGGTTCATGGGTCCATGCTCAACCACTGAGCTACACTGGCCAGGCAAGTTTGTTTCTCCTACAAGGAGACTTCACAGTAAGAGCCCTGGGATAGAATTATAAACAACCTCCTGGCATAGTGAAAGAAAGGCTGTTCTGTGGAATTTCCAAACCACTGATTTCTCAAGTATCTTGTAAAATTCCCTTCCCATAGCATTCGGAGAGAGTCAAGTAAACAGCAGAAAGTTTATGTGCATTTTTTGAGGTGAGAACACCTCTAGCAATAAATACATAGGCCTTTTAGCTGGCACAGACAAACTCAAACAGACGTCTTTCTCAGTATCCAAGAACTGGTGCCCTAGATAGGCAGGAACAAGTAATCAGCTCAAAGACGTGCAAACACAGTTGCTGGGAAATCATTTCCCAGGTTGTTTTATTAATTTAATCAGTTTATTCCTTTAAAACAGTAGGAAGAATGGCTTTAATGCCAATTTTTCAAAGGTACTTTGTAATACTCTGGAATCTCTTGACCTGCTGTTATGAAAATAGAAAGATGGCAAGACCCATGAATGCTGTGGGAAGAAGTACCCAGAGGCGGCAGAGCTGGGTTGGATTATCTCATTTAGGAGGTCAAAGGCCAGTGGAGTGATGCACTATTTTTTACAGTGTACCTGGGAAAACTGAAGGGACTCATGGCGTTAAGTTCCTTTATGCCAATCTGGACTACAACTAAAAGCAAAGCCCCACTCTACTTTATATGAGCACCACAGAGTCAGGAGCACAAACAAATGGATGCTTCAGGGCCCTTTTATACCTTGGCAAGCGAGCCTCGGTATTCCCAATTAATTTATGCAAATAGGAGCCCACACACAGCCTTCTGAGGAGGTGTAAGAAATTTTAATTAAAATGATAAATGCCCTCTTCAAGAATCAAGCTCTAATAGCCCTGGCAAATGAAATAACGATGTGCTGCTATTCTCCTTTCTGGGGCAGCACAGATACTTCAACGAAAGTTTTTATACCCCTCATAAAATTATTCTTATAAAGAATATCACCAAGTATTTGATAGCTTTTTGTTAGGGAGGTAACCTCCCTGAAAAGCTCAAACATGAAGAGTGAAGATTCTGGAGCCCAAGTGCCTAGGTTCAAATCTCTATTCCACACTTAGTAGCTGTGTGACATTCAGCAGGTCACTTAACCTCTCTGTGCCCCAGTTTACTCATCTTTCAAATGAGGCTAACAATACTACCTACCTCTTAGAGTTGCTGTGATAATTAAATAAATTAATACATGTAAGTTGCTTGGAAACTGTACTCAGCACAGAGTAAGAACTTAATAAGTGTTGGCTAATATTTAATTACCACCACCACCACCACTACCACCATCACCATCATAACTACCACCACCATCACCACTACTACCACCACC